ATAAAATGTTAATTTTTGTCAACTCTGATTAGGAAATGCGGCAGATCCTTAAATTGGGATGATAAGAAAACCTTCACAACTCACTGGCAATTGTCAGTAGTGTTGGGTCTGGCTCAGCACACTGTCACTTGCAAGACCTTTTGGCCAAAGAAAGCCTCTGTTGAGGACACCTTGCTCTTGGTGAACTTGGTATAAACACGTGAACTGAGGACCAGGTAGCATATACAGAATATCAGTGAAAACTGTATACAAGGGGCCACCAGAATTGAGTCTTTAAGAGGATCACTAGACTAGTCTATGATCATGTGAATTCTTCAATTGTGATGTTATGCTCTTAGGTCCACATGCTGGGTTTCATGCCAAAGACAGATTTGAAAAAACACCACTTGGTGCAGAATCCATTCTTCAGTCTTTTGAGTCCAGTAGTTGACAGTTTAGAAAGTCCACCATCCAACTCTGCACTCCTTTGAGGGCTGCTTACAGCACATAATACATTGGCGAATGCAGGCTGTGAACAGTTTTCTTACTTGCTATCTTCCCTTGATGCTTTATGTAGATCTGCAGATTGGATTTCTCCTGCATTTGATGACCCTGTAACACCAGGGTACTGAGGACTTCTCCCCAGCTGGAGTGAGAAAGAGATTTTTCATCTTTGGATTTATATAATATTTACTTACAAATAAATATGTAATACATTTAGTGACAAAGGAATCCTAGAGAAAAATGGGTTATCTAAAGAGGGAACTTTATTAGGTACAATATCTCTTATTGAAATCTGAGATAAAACCATTAGAAAGGGAGGGCCACAGAAAGTGAGTCACTGAGTTTACTGATTAACTTGTGTGTGTAAACTTCAGCATGAGTTACTGAGTTCTGTAAATTACATTTTAAAAGTAAATAAATAAATACATAACCTCATAAATCCCACCAAAAAGTCACACTTTCTCCCTAGAAAGTACAATATAATAAAAAACCTTTTTTGTGTAAAATTTAAATACAATTAAATAAAATAAAATAATATGAAATTATCACCCAATACAATCATAAAATGTCCAATTCAAATATTTTCAAACAAAATGTGTCCAACAAAATCCAAAAAGTCCAAATTCTAAGCTTCCATCCAATACGAAGGATAATAATTCTAATTTTCAACAAAACACCTCAAAACAAAGAAATAAACTATATATATAATCTAAATTTGTGCAAATCACAAACCATTCAAAAATGTGCAAGGTTTTTTATTATAATTAAATTTTAAAGCCTAAGTGTAGCTAAAATTAAAAATAAAAATTGGGACATAACTCATAGTCAGCAGAATTTGTACCTTGTGCTGATTCCTCCTGTTTCATTAGAAATTCTCCTCTGTCCCTTCCCCCACCCCACCCCACCCTATTCTTCTAGTATGGCAGGGGTTAATACAGCTAGAAGGCTGTCACAGGCTCTCATCCAGAGAGACCCACTATCCCTGTCCTTTCTTCCCAGTTCTGCCATTTAGAGAGCTGCTATAAATGGAACAGGATCTAAGAATAGAGGGCGGAAGGATGATGCCTCCTCCATTCATAGACCATGTTCATAGGTCATGTAGTACAGCTTCTATGAATTGGGGAGATGGGCAGAAAGGGCAGTTATAGTTGGACTCTCTTGGTGAGAGCCTGTGACAGCTCCTTAAGCCGGACATAGATGGATTGAATCTCCAATTCAGCAGGTACCAGCTGAGATTCAATCCATCTATGAGCAGGCTAGTTGTACTGGATTCAATCCATCGATTGACTTCAGTACAACCAGCCTATCAAATTTTTTTTGCATATGATCCCTGTTGCTGACTATAGGAAGGCTCCCTTCAAGCAGAAAATAATAGTGCTGCTGGAGGGATTATCCCATCGACCCTGTGTTGATGGGGGAATCAAGCAATGCAACATGGGTTGCAGGAAAGAAAATCACATTATCTATGGCTTACCTTAACCCTGCTACACGGGAAGATCATGGTTGCAGGGGTGGGAGCTAAGAGCAGGGATGGAAGAGGATTCCTACTAAAATAAGAGGAATCAGCAGAAGGAATACATCCTATGTACTGTAAATTATGTCCCTTGTGCTGATTTTCTGTTTTTAATTTTAGCAAATTTTAGGCTTTAACAACAAAGTAGAAAAAGAGACACTGTAAAATGTGAAAAAAAAAAAAATTTTTTAAAACAAGATCAATTTTTAATCAAATCCAGAAACTGCTGTTGTGACAGACAATGGTCTGGTTTGCCTTGGGAAGTGATTGCAGAGGTATTTTAGGCAAGGTTTGATGGAAAGAACAGGATGTTAAAAGTGATTACAATACTCTGATTGAAAAAGAAAGCTTAGAGAGCACAAAGAAGTCTGTTTTCTGCATGATAACATCAATTTCAGAAATACAGCTGTGAAATTCAATCAAATGTTTGTGTTGAGGGAGACACAATCGCCCACAAATCTAGTGAAATCACATAATGAGGGTAACTGTTGCATTGTTATGATGGAAGCCAGGAAAATAACAGGAAAAATACTGTGTTTTAAAAGTAAATCCATTTGTCACTGAAAACATTCTTGTGGGCAGAAAGTGGAAAATGAAGAAGAGGAAATGTTAAAAAGGAATTACACTGACAGTGACTATGAGAAGTATGAGAAGTAAGAATTATGGGCTCCACTAGAGGGAGCTCATGGTTCTAGTGTCTTCTAGACAATTTAAAGATCCACTTCAGTCAAAATGGAATAATAAAATGTACCCACCATTAGAAAAATATGAGGAATTAAATACCTGGCTTTTTATTAAACATTCTAATTACCTGTTTGTCCAGCATGTGAAAGTCAGATAATAGTCAAAATTTATTTTCCTATACACGTTCCAGTTTAGTGCTTTGGAAGATATTGAAGCCAAAGAATGAACAGGACAGTCAAGAAACACTTCCTTTAAAGCACAAATTGCATTTACAAAGCACAAGCTGTCTGCTCAGGGTTTCATTTTTTTCAATCCAGGCATTGCTATAGTACTCCAGACAACCCCATTTCCTTTTTAGCAAAGTACTGATCTTAGAACCATTAGACATGTGTGGTTCGTTTTGTTCTGAATCGCATTTCAGACACATTTTTTGTTATTCAAAGATTCGGATGTATTCCAATAACAAATTACAAAAATAACAAAGTTAAACGAATCCGAAATGATGAAACCAAGTTCGGCCGAAATTCAACTTGAAAACAAATTTGAATTCAAAAACAAAACTGAAAACAAATTCGAATTTGAAAACAAAATCGAAAACAAAATCAAACAAACATTCAAAAACAAATTTAAAGCAGAGCTCCACCCAAAAGGGGAAGTTCAACTTTAACCACTAGGGGACCGCCTGCAGTACATATACTGCTACAAAGCGGTACCTGTGCGCAGGATCACGTATATAAACGTGATCCTGCATTTCAGGGTAGGGGGCGTGCATGAAGCGTGTGACCGCCCTACCCACGGTACTGATCGTGGCCGCGGGTGTTAATCACTGGGTCCCGGCCGGTGATTACCCGCCAAAGCGATTGCAGGCAAACACTGATGGGGAGAAAGGCTGCATTGTTTTCAATGGAGCTCTCCTCCCTGTCAGTTTTCAGCACACTGTTCTGGATTGCTGAGCTCAGCCCTCAGTGTGTTACAGTGAAGGACAACTTCGCCCCCTAGTGAAACACTCCATTCACACAGTTAACCCTTTGATTGCCTTCAAATATTAACCCCTTCCTCCCCAGTACCATTAGTACAGTGTCAGTGCTTTTTTTTTAGCACTGATCACTGTATTGGTGTCACTGGGGATGTCAGTTCCCCCCCCCCCAGTGTCAGAATGTCTGCCGCAGTCCCGCAGTCGCTATAAGTCGCTGATTGCCACCATAAGTCACTGATCGCCGCTATTATTAGTTTAAAAAAAAATCCATTATCTATACCGCCATTTGTAAACGCTATAACTTTCACGTAAACCAATTAATTTACACGTATTCAAATTTTTTTTAGCAAAGACATGTAACAGAATACATTTTGGTCTAAATTTATGACTAGATTTTTTTTTATTTTTTTTACTGGAAATGTTTTATAGCAAAAAGTCCAAAATATTGTTTTTTTTTCCTCAAAATTGTTGAACTTTTTTTTTTTATAGCGCAAAAAATAAAAACCGCACAGGAGATCAAATACCACCAAAAGAATGCTCAATTCGTGGGGAAAAAAGGACGTAAATTTAATTTTGGTGCAGCTTTGCATGACCGCGCAATTGTCAGTTAAAGTAATGCGGCGCTGTAACACAAACCGCTTCTGTAACCGCTTTCTCTGACCGCCCTATAGCAGAAATACTGCTTCAGGGCGGCATGGGTGCACAAAATCACTTATATATACGTGATTCGTGCTCCCATAGTTTTCACACCCCTCCCAGATAACTTCAGATTGCCCGTCAGTACACCAGTAATCACATTTAACCCCTTGATTGTCAGGAACACGCTCATACACAATAAACCTCCGTTGCTAGCATAGTATCTGAACGGATCAATATCTTTGATCAGATCAGCACTATACCAGCGTTCACATTAGTATAACGTCCCCAAAAATGCAGCATTAGGGGGATCAGCCCCGACACCTGTATTTAGCCCCTACGCTTACCCCCCCCTTCTCCCTTAGCAAGTGCAGTGTCAGTAGGTCACTGTCTCTTGATACTTTGCACACAAAACCACAGTGTTTGCAGAATCAGGCCTGATCTCAGCTAATAATGGAATCTTCTACTCCTACCAGTCCATCCCCCACAGTTACTACCTTTTGTACCACTAGTCCCTCCCTCTTAGATTGTAAGCTCCAAGGAGCAGGGCCCTCCTATCCCTCTTGTATTGAACTGTATTGTTGCTGTATTGTCTCCCTTTATATTGCAAACCGCTGCGCAAACTATTGGCGCTATATAAATCCTGTATAATAATATTAATAGTAATCTTTGTTAGCAATTGCCGGTAAATTTTGATGACTCTCATATGCAGCAGAGTGCCAGTACTAGTGCCGCTCTACCTTATGGTGAACTGGCGAGCACCAGTGGCCTAGTACATCCTGGTCTTTCACATACCAGCATTGCAGTATCACTTGGTGACATGGAGAGTCCTATTGTCAGGAATGGAGTGGCCAGCAATGGTGGGACTCACCTGCCTTTTGATCTGCAGTACCAGGGCTGGCCAGCGGGTGCTCCCCAGCAATCAGAGACTCAACCTTTCAGCCAGCTAACACCTGGAACTGATGATACTGGTGTATTTAAGGGATGGCCAGACTTGCAGACTCTGCCTTGGTGTTGTGTTTGTCCTGGGCCCTGTATCTGTCCTGCATCCTGTATCCTGTTCCTGCTCTCTGTTCCTGTCTGATTCTCTGCTGACCCTGTTCTGATCCCTGGCTTGTGACCCTGACCATCCCTCTGCCTGACCCTCTGTACCACGCTGCTGCTGCTACCTGTTCTGATCCCTGGCTTGTGACCCTGACCATCCCTCTGCCTGACCCTCTGTACTACGATGCTTGCTACCTGCTGAACCTGGCCTGTGACCCCGACCACCATTCTCCGCTTGCTCCCCCTGTACCTACCTGCCCTATTGATATTGACCCGGCCTGCCTGACGACGCTTGCTTGTTTGTACTGTTATCTGTGGGTGGTTGGTTTGGTTTGTTTGCACTGTATTATGTTTTAGTATTGCACTGCGTTTATGGTTGTATTGTTAGTGTTAATATAAATTACATTGTTTATCACATATCTGAAGTCTGCGTTTCCCTGCGTCAGTCACACATCTCTGGTCACACACCTGGGAGCCCTGACATTACACCAAGGCCAATCCTGACCAGAAGTGGCTGCACAGGGAAGCCATCTTGGCTTGTTGATGGGAAGGATGGATCTGGATGAGGTTGAGTATTTATCTCTGCTAGTGCTTGATGACAGAGAGTATGCTTATCAGACTCTGAAGGAGTATCCCCGGGATGAACTGCTAGAATGTATACGGCTCGCTCATGTTCTAGTAGATCAGGGCACAGATTTCTCTATGGTGCAGCCATTGATTCAGGTTTGTGTTGAGTTGGTTTCATCTGGTTCCCCCCCGAATGCAGGGATGAATTTTTGCCACCATTTAGTGCAGACCAGGTAGAGTCCCTGGTATGGTTATTAGAGGATGATGTGGGTTACTTTCTGGAGCGTTATTCCACATGTTCACCACAGACACTAAGAGATTGTATAAACGCAGTGCAGTCATTGACCAGACAGGCTTTGTGTAAGCTCAGCTTTGTTCAACCCCTACTGCAACATGGACAGACTTGTTGCACCCAGCCTCAGTCAGCTTACAAAGACCCAGTCCTGCTTCTAACTCTACTCCTGTATTCCCACCAGCTCCTCCAGTTACAGCCCAGTATACTTGGTTATCTACCGCATGTCAGTACCCTGTTCCACACTCGCTGCACCTATCCTGCCTTTAACCCTGTAAAAAAGCCCTCTGTAGCAACTGCTCCCTCTTCTGTTCCATCCTCCAGTTCTTCTCTGTCTCCAGCTGCTCCATTCGTTTGCAGACCTGCGTTTACTTGCAGTGCTCCAGTAGTTAAAACCAGAAAAAAAAAACGAAAATTCTTTCCAACCAATACCATCCTGCCAGTATCCAAACCGGTGAACCTGCCTTCCGTGACTCGTGAAGCCTCGGCCTGAAGCCTCTACTCGGCCTGAAGCCTCTATTCAGCCGGACGCCGGCATTCAGCCTGATGCCTCTACCCAGCATGATGAACTGATCCAGCCTGACGATCCTATTAGGCCAGTTGACTCGATGCCCGCTGTTGATCCAGATGATCCGGTACCTGATCCGGTGCCCGCTGTCGTGCCAATTGACTCAGAGCCCGCTGTCGTACCTGGTGACTCGGTGCCCACTGCCTTGCCAGATGACGCGGTGCCCACTGGCGAGCCAAATGACCTGATGCCTGGTGACCCAGTGCCCGCTGTCATACCTGGTGACCTGATGCCCGCTGTCGAGCCAGACGATCCAATGCCTGGTGACCCGGTGCCCGCTGTCAAGCCAGACAATCCGGTACCTGATGATCCGGTGCCCACTGTCGTGCCTGTTGACTCGGAGCCCACTGCCTTGCCAGATGACGCGGTGCCCGCTGTCGAGCCAAATGACCTGATGCCTGGTGACCCGATGCCCGCTGTCCAGTCAGACGATCCAATGTCTGACCCAGTGCCCGCGGTCATACCAGTTGACTCGGAGCCCACTGCCTTGCCAGATGACGCGGTGCCCGCTGTCGTCGAGCCAAATGACCTAATGCCTGGTGACCCAGTGCCCGCTGTCATAACTGGTGACCCGATGCCCGCTGTCGAGCCAGACAATCCGGTACCTGATGACCCGGTGCCCCACTGTCGTGCCTGTTGACTCGGAGCCCACTGCCTTGCCAGATGACGCGGTGCCCGCTGTCGAGCCAAATGACCTGATGCCTGGTGACCCGATGCCCGCTGTCCGCCAGACGATTCAATGTCTGCCCCAGTGCCCGCGGTCATGCCAGTTGACTCAGAGCCCACTGCCTTGCCAGATGACGCGGTGCTCGCTGTCGAGCCAAATGACTTGATGCCTGGTGACCCGATGCCCGCTGTCCAGTCAGACGATCCAATGTCTGACCCAGTGCCCGCGGTCATACCAGTTGACTCGGAGCCCACTGCCTTGCCAGATGACGCGGTGCCCACGGTCGAGCCAAATGACTTGATGCCTGGTGACCCGATGCCCGCTGTCCAGTCAGACGATCCAATGTCTGACCCAGTGCCCCGGTCATACCAGTTGACTCGGAGCCCACTGTCGTGCCTGGTGACTCGGCGCCCGCCGCTCCGCCTGAGGGCCCGAGACCTGTAGCTCCACCCGGGGGTCCGGCGCCCGCCGCTCCGCCTGAGGGCCCGAGACCTGTCGCTCCATCTGGGGGTCCGGCGCCCGCCGCTCCGCCTGGGGGCCCGAGACCTGTCGCTCCGCCTGAGGGCCCGAGACCTGTCGCTCCGCCTGGGGGTCCGGCGCCCGCCGCTCCGCCTGAAGGCCCGAGACCTGTCGCTCCGCCTGGGGGTCCGGCGCCCGCCGCTCCGCCTGAGGGCCCGAGACCTGTCGCTCCACCTGGGGGTCCGGCGCCCGCCCGCTCCGCCTGAGGGCCCGAGACCTGTCGCTCCGCCTGGGGGTCCGGCGCCCGCCGCCGCTCCGCCTGAGGGCCCGAGACCTGTCGCTTCGCCTGGGGGTCCGGCGCCCGCCGCTCAGCCTGAGGGCCCGAGACCTGTCGCTTCGCCTGGGGGTCCGGCGCCCGCCGCTCCGCCTGAGGGCCCGAGACCTATCGCTCCGCCTGGGGGTCCGGCGCCCGCCGCTCCACCTGAGGACCCGAGACCTGTCGCCCCGCGCTCCGCCTGGGGGTCCGGCGCCCGCCGCCCTGCCTGGGGGGCCCGATGCCTGTCGCCCCGCCTGGGGCCCGATGCCTGTCGCCCCGCCTGGGGGCCCGATGCCGGTCGCCCCCGCCTGGGGGCCCGATGCCGGTCGCCCCGTCTGGGGGCCCGATGCCTGTCGCCCCGCCTGGGGGCCCGAAGCCTGTCGCCCCACCTGGGGGCCCGGCACCCGCCGCTCCGCCTGGGGGCCCGATGCCTGTCGCCCCGCCTGGGGGGGCCGATGCCTGTCGCCCCGTCTGGGGGCCCGATGCCTGTCGCCCCGCCTGGGGGCCCGATGCCTGTCGCCCCGCCTGGGGGCCCGATGCCCGTCGCCCCGCCTGGGGGCCCGATGCCCGTCGCCCCGCCTGGGGGCCCGATGCCTGTCGCCCCGCCTCTGCCCGGTGTGCCTCTGCCCGGAGTCCTGCCCGATGTGTGCCTCTGCCCGGAGTCCTGCCCGATGTGCCTCTGCCCGAGGTCCTGCCCGATGTGCCTCTGCCCGGAGTCCAGCCCGATGTGCCTCTGCCCGGTGTGTGCCTCTGCCCGGAGTGTGCCTCTGCCCGGAGTCCAGCCCGTGTGCCGGAGCCCAGCCCGGTGTGCCGCTGCCCGGAGTCCTGCCCGGTGTGCCAGTCTTTGATATCCCGCCAGTTACCAGACCCGGGCGGTGGAACATTTTGCCCAGCTAGGACTGTTTGGAGCGTCCTGAGGCCGCTCCTTGAGGGGGGGGGTACTGTCAGGAATGGACTGGCCAGCAATGGTGGGACTCACCTGCCTTTTGATCTGCAGTACCAGGGCTGGCCAGCGGGTGCTCCCAGCAATCAGAGACTCAACCTTTCAGCCAGCTAACACCTGGAACTGATGATACTGGTGTATTTAAGGGATGGCCAGACTTGCAGACTCTGCCTTGGTGTTGTGTTTGTCCTGGGCCCTGTATCTGTCCTGCATCCTGTATCCTGTTCCTGCTCTCTGTTCCTGTCTGATTCTCTGCTGACCCTGTTCTGATCCCTGGCTTGTGACCCTGACCATCCCTCTGCCTGACCCTCTGTACCACGCTGCTTGCTACCTGTTCTGATCCCTGGCTTGTGACCCTGACCATCCCTCTGCCTGACCCTCTGTACTACGATGCTTGCTACCTGCTGAACCTGGCCTGTGACCCCGACCATTCTCCGCTTGCTCCCCCTGTACCTACCTGCCCTATTGATATTGACCCGGCCTGCCTGACGACGCTTGCTTGTTTGTACTGTTATCTGTGGGTGGTTGGTTTGGTTTGTTTGCACTGTATTATGTTTTAGTATTGCACTGCGTTTATGGTTGTATTGTTAGTGTTAATAAATTACATTGTTTATCACATATCTGAAGTCTGCGTTTCCCTGCGTCAGTCACATCTCTGGTCACACCTGGGAGCCCTGACACCTATAAATGCAGTACAAGCTGGTGCGGTGGCGAGCACATGTATTGTCCCGCAACCATCAAGAATTCACACACAGGCCGTAGAGCCCCTAGTATCCTTCTGGATGTGCTTGCAAATCCCAATTGGCAGCCCACAAATTCTGCAGCAACTGTACTTCCCCCATTCACTGCCCAACCTGGAATTCAGGTGGAAAGAGCAAATTTAACTACTCCCCTTAATTTTTTGGAGCTGTTTTTCATGGAATATCTGTATGCATTGATTGTGGATCAAAGCAATTTATATGCACAACAATTTATTGCGCCAACCCAAATTCAAACCTTGCCAGACCATTCGCATGGAAACTCATTACGGTTTCAGAATTAAAATTTTTTTTGGACCTAACCCTCAACATGGGCATTACTAAAAAAAATTAATTGTGGATGTATTGGTCCACAGACCCGATTCATCATATGCCGTGTTCTCTGCTGCCATGGTCAGGCATAGATATGAGAGTATAATGTGTTTTATGTTTTTCAACGACAATACACTGTCGTCTTCGAGGTGACCCTGAATTTGACCGACTCCACAAAATTCAGCCCCTCGTAAATCACCTTAAGCAAAATTTGCAGATGTCTATACTCCCCAGCAAAACATCTGCATTGATGAGTCCCTCATTCACTTTTCTGGCCGCCTTGCACTCAAACAATTTCTCCCCCAGCAAGCATGCCAGATATGGGGTCAAGATGTAGAGAAGGGCAACAAGCTATACTTTTGAAGTTTCGGATTTACGAGGGAAAAGATAGTCACGTGGAGCCCCCCCAGATGCTCAGACTACATGGGAAGCAGTGGCAAGATAGCTTGGGACTTGGTGTCATCCTTTTTCCATATGGGGTACCCACGTATACGTAGACAATTTTTATTTAAGTGTGCCACTATTAAGACATTTGTACAATCTTGGAATTAGTGCATGTGGCACCGTTCGACCTAATGTGTGCCCACCATTAGCAGTGGGTGGATACAGTACGGTATATTCTAATGGTGGGCATGCCACACACTTTTTCTGGCAGAGATTTCTTCTCTTTTTTTCATTCAGCCCACAGGCTGCATACAATAAAAAAAAAAAAGAACATAGCATATATACAACTGCAGGCATCCTCCTGGTATCATTTGTTTCAGCCGGCGATCTGCTTTCATGTAAAAGCAATCCTAGTGGCTAATTAGCTGCAGGATTGCTTTAACAAGCAGTGGGAGATGATGCCCCCCCTCCCCCGCTGCCTTCCACAGCCTTCTCGGGCAGTCCCGTGCCATCAGGGGAACCAGAGAATACAGCCGGTGTTTCTTCCAGCTGACCATAGAGCTGATTTTAGACCAGAATGGTGCCATCATCTCTATAGTCTTAGAAATCTGAATCTACGAGCATTTCATCACTTCAGTTTTGCAGGATATAAACAGCGCCATTTGTAAATTGGGAAAGCATCTGAACACACTGATCTTGGTTTGATTAGATAATGTAAGGGCAGAGGAGATACCTAGAATCTGATAGACCCCAGATTTCTCAAAAAAGAATATATGACAATGCCCATTGAAGTTGTAGGGGATATTTGCATTCCCTGTGATAGCATTAAAAGTGATAAAAAAAAAATAAAGGGACAGTGTAAAAATAATTAAAATAATCAAAATAATTTATAAAAAAAAAAATTCACCCTCGCCTTCCCCCGAGCGCGCACACCTGTGTGCGAGAGCGTTGACCCTGTGCAGGTATGTAAACAGCGGTTGCACCATGCATGTGATATATTGCTGTGAACATCAGACCCAGAGCAGTAATTCTAACACTAGACCTCCTTTGTAAATCTAAAATGGTAGCTTGTAAAGGCTTTTAAAACGTTGCCTATGGATATTAAAAACGTATGCAGTTTCTCGCCATGGCATTATCAAATAATTGGCCAATATATTGTGTTTTTGTGCATTAAAAGTAAAAAAAGTGTATTTTTTTAAAATTGTGTTTGAAAAAGCGCTGCGCGAGTATAAGTGACATAAAAAAATTGCAGCACCCACTATTTTATTCACTAGGGTGTTTGCTTAAAAAAATATATAATGTTTGGGGGTTTAAAATTAATTTCCTAGCAAAAAATACAGATTTTTTTACATGTGAAATAAAAGTGCCAGAAAAGGCTTGGTCTTCAGGTGGGTGATGTGTGGCATAAACTTCTAATGCTGGGCATAAAATGCCCCACACGCCAAGATGACCCCTTTTTGGAAAGTAGACACCCCAAGCTATTTGCTGAGAGGCATGTTGATTCAATAGAAGAATTTATTTTTTTTACCACAAGTTTTTGGAAAATGACAAAAAATGGTTTTTTTTTTTACACAAAATTGTTACTTAAAGGATTTATTGCTCACACATGCCATGGGTATATGTGGAATTACTACCCAAAATACATTTTGCTACTTCTCCTGAGTATGGGGGTACCACATGTGAGAGACGTTTTGGCAGTCTAGCCCA